AAACGCCCCTGATATAAAATACCTACTCGGTTATCCACTTTCTTTCTCTACTGAATATAATTTGTAGTTTACTGATTTGAAGAAATGATTCAAATATCTACATATATTCACCTCATCTAAATAATAAGTAACTAATCGTTCACGTTTCATAAAACACAAAAAATTTAAGAGATCTGTCTTCCATAGACATGAATTTAAACAATATATCCATTATATCACCATATTCTCTTTATTAATTTCCACAAAGTTCCTAGTCTTCTGTATGCAATCGGAAATATGTAATATCAAGCAAACTGTTTGTGAACTTCTTTAACCATTAACGATACAGACAACGCAGATTCGCCGATACTTAAGCTAACTAACTTTATCAATTACACCTCGATATTTGTTTCTAGCTGATTTATCACAGAGAAATATCGACTTTTTTATTACTTCTTTCGATGAAATTTGCATAGAAAATTGATTCCATATTTCTTTGCTATGCTTTAACCGTGATAATATTGTCAAGAAGATTAGGGCTACTATCCCCAATTTAATCATCATATTGACATAATTGCAGACTGAAAAATCTATATACGAATTTTCATAATCTTTTCTTATCGTCGAAACTAACATCAAACAGAACATTCTTCAATTATACGTATTTTCCATACCTTTTCATTGTCATCATAATTACCAGAAGAGCCATTTTACAGGTGTTCGTCATTTGTACTTCCGCAAGCATTCTTTCAACCGTTCTGAAATATGCTTAGTCATGAACATATGTTACTATTCCATTTGAAAAACGTGCAGTTAAAATCTGAATCACATTTTCTCTAGCCGCAAATCCACAGCACGTGCCAAGACGTTTCTCGATATTGTAATTGATCACGAATACTTTCCTGAATATCCGACTTACTTATATGCTCCGCCATCATTAATTTTCACACTATTAATAACAGAACGTATGTATTTTATTATGCATTCTGCATTTTCACAAAAGGTCTTATTGAGATAAAATTCACACTTCTTCTGTCCGACCTCTCGAATTTCCGTTTGTCTATCCAATAGTCCATTACATAAATTCTCTAGATATATCGAAAAAACAGTGTCTGACTCTATGTGAATTCTTCAAACACAATATTTGTCAAAAACCTCTACTCGAGAGGATACTTTTATTTACAACTCATTCACAAGCAAAGCTGAATACAACAATCCACCTCTCTACCTTCTCAACCGTATTACCACAACAATACCGCAAGTCTCATCGTGTTTCACATTTTTATCCCGTAAGGGATTGCGCTGAAAGCTTTTCCTTATCATATAGAAATATACGACTCTAAATGAGTATCGTGTTCCGCATTTTATTCAGAAAAACTCATACGCGGCACTGTGTAAGCATTTTGGAATGATGAAGAAATTCTTTGATTATCATCTTTCACATCTTATTCGAGAACTGCTCGACATGTGTTTTGTTAAAGATCGCAAATGGCAGTAAGTTTTTTGTTAAATGTGGTATTCTTTGAGAAAGAACGTTTAACGAAGTAGATCATTTTGAATTTAAAGAAAATGAAACTACATAAAAACAAAATTTATCATCTTATATCATTGTTCCATGGGAGAATTTCATCTTTGTTCAATGAAAGATTAAAGAAAAAAGATAACCGTTCTATTTCTTTCCTTTTTTCTTATTTTGTTTGTATATGAAGAGATAATTAGAGGAGAATGATAATGAAAAAAGTCACAAGTAAATACTTGTCGTAATACATACGTATCTTACTTCTTACACGACAACACTCCCTTTTGAATATGCCATATCGAACTTTTCTTCAAAGAATAAACTACACTGCTCATTGGAGATGAAAAATCAAAGAAAACACTTTTTTTCTTACCATAGTTACGCGGCACCGTGAAGACTCTATTCATCTAATAATTGGCTGGGTAGTATTTCCTAACTTCACTTTTTACTGAAATATTCGTTTTTTGGAGAATCTTCCCACATCTATCACTAAATTGTCAGCTTCAAACATCGATATAAGCATAATTAATTCCTGGAATCAAGCATTCGATTCTCTGAATTGTTATTTTCCCATATTTATTTATTTGTTTAGTCTGACCGGAAATTTCCTTAATATTTCAGTTTTATCTCAGCGACCAATCCGTTTGAATGCATCAAAGCTCTATTTTTTCTTGTTTCATCCATCTCCTGTCTTATTGCTATTGCTAGTGGATTAACAAGTCGTATGGTGGCTGGTTATTCTGTTTGTAAAACGTGTCACTTTATTCTATATGCAACAAGAACAATAACTTTATGTTTAATTACTTTAACTATCGGTCGGTGATTATTAACAAGTACAAATGCGAATCAACAACAGAAAAGTCCATTAAAAATTTTCGACGGAGTATTATTTTCATATTTGTCGATGCTATTTTTACAAATTCCCTGGTCATGTTTTCACCAATGTCATTTATACCTTATGTACAACTCTATCTCTATCATTTATGATAGTTTTATTTGGATTATTGATAATTAAAAACATTCATTATACACAAAATCGTATTCATAATATTTTTATGTTTACAATAAGTGTTTCACCAATAATAAATCGAAGGGGACATAACTAACGAATGAACAGACATTTATTTAGAACGTTCTTTGTTCAAGTAAGTTATTTTAACCTGTCAATATGCTATTCAAAAAGTATATTCATATATTGCTGCTAGTTCATCGATTCAACCAGTGCAGGGTGCTATTGAAAATTTTATTTTCAATTTGGTTACATTGATGAATTTTACAGCAAGTGGAATATCTTTCTATATTTATACAGTTACTGGCGGAAGTTTATTTCGTAATGCGCTTTTTCAACTTATTCGAGGTATTACTTTAAAAATACTTTGTCAATAGTCGGAAAATCATATTTCAATTTTGGTGCAATTCATGATGTCTATGATTAAGAATTTCATTTTTGAATTCGTCTGAGTGCGAGATCTCGTATAACACTTTCCATGATAAATTCGACTTATTAGTGTCAACTGATTGAGAATAATGAAAAAGTGACTATCAATTAGAATTGGGTACAATATGAAGTAAAATAAATGCTTTAGGTATACCTTCAATTACATTTTAATAAAATCATCAAATGATAATGTGCCTTTCTTATTTGTTTGAAAACTTCTCGTCTAACATGCGTTGTTTGATTTACTTTGCTTTTGCCACGAGTATGATCAAATAAATATTCTGCTTCTCTTGTCGATGAAAGAATGTAAACAAACATGTAGTTCTGGTGTCCTTTTAACGAGAGAAGGAGAGAAAATGATGTAGGTCGTATGTGTTGTTGAAGTTTGTAAATGAAAAGTATTTTTCCGACAACATCATAGAATATCACAGTATAGATCTTGATTCAGAGTGTAGATTGTAAGGAAGAAATATGACGATCAAAACTCGATAGAAACGAATATTGAAGGACTACAATATTGGAAAAGAAATTCTGTGCAAAACTTTGATTTCGAGTTTAATAACAATCGTTAATGGTTTTTAAAAGTTTTTGTTGAATCATCAGGGTTTTGTTGAGTAATAGTTAATTCTTTTTAGAATACCTTCAAAAAAAAATAAGAATAAAATAAACGATAGTATCATATTTATACTATGAAAAACAAGAAAAGTACCCGAGTCGTCCCAAATCATTTCGCTTACTGTCTCAACTTTTGCATGAAAAAAATTCAGTAGTTTCATCGTAAGACTTACAGCGTTGGTTGCTGGATTATTAATAGGAGTTTATGGTGATGTGCAACAAAACATGCAACAAGCAATAGCATTACCGCCAGCACCAATTTCGCTGCAATTGGTATAATGATAATAAGTGCTAATAGGAGTATCAGTGGTCGTAGTATAAACGCCATTTTTACCAGTACTAGAACCTCCATTATAACTAAAACCAGGACAATTGCAACCATGAATATCAAAAGCACCACTAAGAAATCTAATACGGTAATTGTTACCAAAATAAACGGTAACAGAATTACAATCATTGTTGTTACCACGGCTACAACCAGGAGCGTTGCACTTTCGAGGAAAAATACCATCGGTGCCATTGTAACAACTACAACCAACTGGTAGGTCTGATTGAACTTTTTTTAGCATTATTGTAATCAATAGCAAGTAGAAAATGCTGAATTTCATTGAAAATAACATTTTAGATAAAGATGAAAAATCTAAAACATACTGGCGTCAGTTCGGGATATTTTCGAAATGGAACATATAACTTACTTTTACTTGAGTTTTGAAATGTTCGAATGAAAAACGAACAATATTTATATGACGCGAATGAAAGACGTTGCTTCAAGATATCTCAAGTGTCGACATTTCTTTTGTTTGTTCTCTCTCTATATATATATGACCCTAACGAAGTCTTTACATGTACCCATTTTATTCTTATCTAATGTAAAAAGATCTCTGCCGTCATCAGTATGTACTTTTCACAAAGATATTCAAGCATCAACGTATAACCAGTTACTAATTGTTTAAATATTTATAAATAAGAGAGATTGATCATCACTACAAAGAAAAAACAACGTTCGGACAGTGGGACTATCAATTTTTCACCCAAACTCAAAACCATTTATATTCTTCATCGACCAGTAGTGTACTGGGATCAGTATGCATGTATACGATATCCATCTCATTTAACCTCAAGATGTTCGAAGTGCATATTCCAAGATCGATTCTGATGAATATTCATTGTAGTTCGACGTGAATATCAATCAAATCCATTATGATTGTGTTCGTTAATATTTAGTATGAATGTCACAAGTATTATTCGACAAACCTTTGCTGGATTATTACAATTACAAACAAAAAAAGGTATTCCAATAAGATAGATCGTTTCTTCATAATTGAGTGAATACGAGGCAAAGGGAAAAATGCATTTGCACGTATAATCAGAAGCGCAGAATGTATTGCGAAGAAAATAAAATGCTATGTTTTCTTTCACGTTCTTTTTTTGTTTAGTCAGAGGTTTCTTTGTAAGATGAAATACTTAACAGAACGAAACAGACAAAAATAACGTTTACTATACAAAAGAGAACTTACTTTATCATTTACTTTTCTGTTCTGTTTCCTAGGTGTCCAACGTGATCGTTAAGACAAGAAAAAGTAAAAGTAACTTACATGTAGACGCCATTCGGATCAATATTTCAATCATATCATCCAGATCAACAAAACTATCTATAAGTCCACGATGACTAATATTTCGTCTGAAGTTCGTAATTATTTCAAACTGGAATTATTAATCTCACGTTCATGTAACACACTGCGTAACTTGTTTAAAGCCCGTTATTCATTATTCAACAATGGCCAAGCATGGGCCGAGTCACCAACATGTGGAAACAGTTATTTGACAAATGTTGTTGCCAAGAATAAAAATATTAACTTAACACCTGCACAAAAGACATCAGTTTCGAAGGGAAATACAGATGAGTGGGATATATCAACTTTATGTTCGATTTTATTGTTTAGTAAACGTCCACAAACTTTGAATGCGAATGAAGAACAACAACTCGATGAAGAAAATAAACTTGTAGCACAGTTAAGAGATGCAAGAAATAAATTAGTTCATCATTCATCGAAATCTATTCATAATCAAGAATTCAATCAGTTATGGATTGATATATCAACAATTTTAGTGACATTTGGTGATATAGAAACTGAATTAGCTAAATTGAAAGAAGATAGCATCTTTGATTCACCCAAACAAGTTATCAATGAAGAGAATACAAATGAAGCATTGCGTTTAAAGTCATTGGGCAACGAAGCTTATGATAATGAAGATTATTCTGAAGCAATCAAATTCTTTATCAAAGCGACAGTTTTACCAGGTGTTTCAGATCATGATCGTGCTATTTTTTTTCGAATATGGCGGCAAGTCGGTTAGCGTTTTATAAACAACAGTTGTATTCAGGCGGTGGTGATCTACCAAAAGAGTTAGATCGTGCTCTAAAGGATGCCAAACAGGCAAGAAAACTTTGGTTAACATGGTGGAAAGCACATTATCGTGTTGGACAAGTCTATGCGGTTTTAGATGATCATGAAAAGGCCATTAATTCGTTTGAACGAGCATTTGCACTTGATCCGACAAAGCAAGAAATACAAACAGCGATGGATGAAAGTCGGATAATGGTTCATCGAGATTCACAACAAGAAGATCTCGATCTATGCGCGAATTGGAAGCCAATGCATGAATGTCCAGATGCAGAAATGATAAGAAAAAATAAAGATTTACTCGCACTAATAGATCCATCAGTGGCTGATGTAACGAAAGGACATCAGTTTGCACTTGGAGACATTGATATTATTCAAGATTACGAGCAAGCCGCGAAATATTTTGCCAAAGCAGCAAATGCAGACAATGCTGAAGGAATGTATAACTTAGCTCGATTATTCGATAAAGGTTTAGGTGTGAAAAAAGATCA